GCCTTACGTTCAACACTTTGGCTGTAACTGTAACATTTACTATTACACCTTCCCCCTCCTCTTACTAGTTCTGTACTCTGTGTCGCGTCTCCTCGTCCCACATCCCAGACATCACTCCTCGGATTGAACAGACTCGTTTTAATTTCTCCGATTAGAATCCGATCGCCCGCATTCCACGTCCAGGGCGGGGAAAGCCGCCGCCGCGCCGCCCGGGGCGCAACTCTAATGGCCGCCATTTTCGCCTGTCTCATAATCTGAGCTATTATTATCTAGTCTGGCTGATGTAATAGATCAACAAACTACTCTCAATTGATTCTTGACGTTGTCAAACGGAGTGATGAATTACGAATTAAGCTAATTATAGGTTAGTATATTTATCATTCACTCTGCACATTACGTACAAGTAATCGGAATATGTACATACTGTGTTGACTTGTAACTCCAAATCGTGGGTAAATATATGGTGTTACTGCTATAGGAAGTCCGAATGAAAACAATCTACAGAGACAAACATGTTCAATAAAGCAATCAACTTGGTAACTTCTCATCATGGTATTGACATAGGTACACTAGACGCGTGAAACTGCAAATTAATAAATGCTTATAAAAAATAAAACATATCAACAATATTGAACGTCACTCTAGTGCTTTATGGCAAAGCAAAGCATTCAAGAGTGACGTCCGGACAAAACTTCATTTACGGTCACATTTTTCTACTGTATTGACGTGTTCAATCAATTCAAACGATGACCACAAAAATCTCCTATTCAAATGATTTTATGAAGTAATACTTTACGTTATATTATCACCAGTCCTCAGTATGAAGACCATTACAGTATATTTCATTGGGTGCTATATGGCTATTTTCACATTTCTGATATTTTCTTCGAATTTTTAAAACTCTTTTAAGTGTGTGATTGATAAAATTCTTATTAAGACGTAACTGTGTACTGCAATGAGTAAGTTAACAAAACTGTCCATGTATTTGAATTAGATCACATTCGAGGTTTTTGTACCAGTATCTTGAAGACTGGTCAAATTGTAATCAGTATCAATAGAATTTTAATTCATTTCACAGAAAAAACTTTTCCTTCATAAAAACTATTTACAATAATTTTAGAACCGTGTGTTGGAAAACAATAATATTATTATTATTATCTTCGGGTTCTTATCACAGGGATAAAAAGGTAAAGTTCAAGGAAATGTCCGCTAGAGTGCATCTGGTAGTAGTGACAACAATGTCCGCCAGGTGTCTGTCTGTCTGATGCAAGTTCCGCCAGTCTCCGCTAGGTTGTGCTGCTGTGCTGTCCCTAGCAGTTGGTTATGTTTTTAGGGAATTCGATTTAGTAAGTTGAAATTGCTATTACGAAGAATAGATTACAGCTTAAATTAAACCAAACTTTCAATAATATTTATACCGTACATTTTGTTTGGCTAAATAAATAAAAAGTTGTATTAGCGAATTGAATAAGCTATTACCTAGTTCGGCTGAAATCGTTGGCGATGGATTTTAGTACACGATAGGATGTCTAGTGTAGATATAAAGTCAATGCTATTACCTAGTACCTTTCTAGTACTGTACTCATGGTAAGACCTGGACCCGGGACTGATTTACTTTTTTCGTTTTAAAGGTCCCTAGAGGCCAAAAAACACCATCCGTTTTCATATTAATATTTATATATTCATTCATATATATATATTTATATTTATTATATATGTGTCCGTTAGCACGATAACACGAGCAAAAATGAACCGATCTTGGTGAAATTTGTTATAAACGTGTAAACTTCAACAGTTTACTTAGTTAAACTTCTCTAGTTTCTTGTAAGAAACTAGAGTACAGTACAACAAACTTCTGCTGGTTGAGTGAGTTGTTGTAATTTTTATTCTATCTGATTAATTTTATGTAGTTTGATATAGTCTTATCATATTTTAAGGATGTCCTGTTCGTGGATCGAGAAATCCCTATACACCCTTAAGCATTGATTTCAAAGGTACTGTATGTCTAACTTGGAAGATCTGTACAGTATTTAGATAGCTCGTTCCCAAGGCACATGTTAACAGCTCATTTTCTTTATTAAAAAAAAACCTCACAAAGTGAGAGAAGTGTATTATGCACATATTTAAACAGGGTTCCCTGCCAACCTAGGCACCGACAATTGTATTTGAATTTGGAATTGACCAAGGATTACAATGATCATCAATAGACCTCAATTCATTGCCGAGACCGCTCAATAAATAAACAATTGGTTACTCTATTTGTTGCTTTAACTTATATTTATACCAGCTGTTTGCCCGTTCTACGCACGGGAATCTTGTAGTAAGTTGAAACCTAATATTCAGAACAGGAGTTGGTTTGCATATTTAGTGTGCATTTTTCCAGATATGCTGGCAAAACTTTTACCGTACAGGAATACATATAAACCTTCGCAAATACAATATCTGACAGTTTCAAAGCCAAAACGAATGCTTCGCAATTAAATGTCACCCGATCGAGTTAGTCCATATTTTATATCTAATGATAAAAGAAATTACTTTATAGATCTATGAGGCATAGCCCTAAGGTAGGCCTGTAATTGAAAGTTACTTTTCACACTAGTTAAAAGTAGTTAAAATACTACCTCATCCTCACTACTAATATATAAATAAGTCAATAAATACATAGTCCACAAAACATTTATACGTTGACAACGCCAAGCTTTAAAAATTCATGATGGTTTGCTAAAAAAAATCGTTCACTAGTTCATAGCACTAATTTCATAGCATAAACTAACATTTTGGAGTCCAGACAGAAAACGCTAAAATTATACTGTAAGACATCAATTAAATTTAATAAGAAATAAGGTGCAGCACTAACGATAACTATAGTTGTAAATAGTGATGTGTTTGTACGTAAAAATTATTCTTACTGCTGCCACCGGTTCTAAGGAAAAGTAGCAGTACCATAAACCAACGTTTACATTTAAGAAAAGAACTGTAGTACTTACGACCAATTCAAACTGTCCTTCTAATCAAACTGTATTATAGTCTAGGTGTTAATCCGTTGGCAAATATATAAATAAATAAATACACAGGCCACAAAACATGTAACATATAATGTTAACAACGTAAAGCTTTAAAAACTCACTATGGTTTGCTCAAAAAAACTTTCACTTGATGTGGTAGTACCGAAGTTATTAATCTCCCTTGGTTTAAATTTTTTTTTAAGTTTTCGAAAATCAAAGTTATTTCTCATTAATAGCATTATTTGTAAGCAACTTTTAATGTTAACAGTTTTAAGAAACCACCTTTATCCAAACAAAGGTTTCTTATTTAAAAGATTACGTAATCGATTACGTAAAGATTACGTAAACGATAATCGGTACATATATAGGCCTATAGCAAACATTCCGAGGAAATGTGACAAAAACGCACAAATCTGGGGTTTTGGTCGATTGTAGTTTTACTTCCTAAGTAGGAAAAGCACCGATATCGTTGTCGAAATGTTAGTAAGTAGAAACCAAAAGTGACACATTGGAAAAGCGAGTTTAGCTACATTTGTAAGTTAAACCTCTGTTACGATCACAGCGAAATCAGAAAGATCTTCCAAGATCGCAGCAACATCCACGATTACCCACTGCAGTTGTGATTTTTTACTTTGTACTTTACACAACTGTAATTGAAGCGCCGTCAATGAGTGAAAACCTTTATTCACGATTACTTTTCTAGTATTCGTGCCTTTTTTGTAAGCTATTGGTGACGATGATTAAGAACAGGCATGTAAGTTTCCCAGCACTAATACAACACTAATTCACGGCATTTTCCCCGGTTATCATAACTCAAGAACAATCGTTGCACTTGCGAATAATTAAACCGGTTAAGTAAGGCACAACGTTTTTAATCTCACTTGGTTTGGATGTGATAAAAAAAATTGATCGAAATGGTTGCGGTATTTGTAAACAACTTTTAATGTAAACATATCAGTGACAGCTAGAAGTGAGAACTAATCCAAACAGCTGATCGTTATTTCATAAAATGTAATAGTAAACATTGGGAGAAAATTTGACAAAAATCTAACAAAATTGGGTTTTTGATGGTTCGTTATTTTGTTATCCAAGAAGCGAGGCCATGTATTTTATAGCCAAAGACACTCTCACCAATCCAGTAAATACAGAAAAATGATTAGAACCTTGATCGGTATTCTAGTTTTCTAGGAGTAGGCCGCGTAAAATGACATTTTGGCGTTACAGACGGGACCACAGAATGGACAAACAGACAAACAGACAGACAGACGGACAGAAATTGAGATAAGACTCGTTTCGGCTTTCTTAGGCTATGAAACGTAAAAATAACCAAAAACTGCATGATTCTAAGCAATTTACAGACAAAACTGTAATTTTATTCATATAGATAAGTATAATTTCTTCCTTCAATGTAACATTTTCCATCATACTGCAATAAAAAAAGCCATTTTTAATATATGCGTTGAGGTTCCAAAGTGACATTTTTACTCTCTAGGGAGTAAAAAAACGTGTTTAGCCCCAAGGGAAAATAAATCAGCTGTTGTCAATTCAGTTGTAAATTTTGATTGTAAACAATTGCTTGTATCGAAAGTATGTATTGATTGTTTAATAGATTGTTGTTTATTGTTGCCTTAATGTACACTAACATAATCGTAATAGACGGAACGATTGAATCACTTCCTAAACAGCTGCTTGTTTCCTTTCTCAAATTAAATTGATAAGTTAGAAGTAGTTTTGAGAGGTTACTTTAAATGAAAACTATTTAGTTTTTTAACAGTTTGTTCAACTTATGGTGCACTATGACAAAAAATATAGTTCATCACACGGGCATAAAGTGTCTTTTCAGCCCTTGCTCATTTTCCGACCTCCGCTTCGCCTCGATGTAAAACTTGACCTCCTGAGTGATGAAATATACTATTATTCCTTTCATGGCACTTAAAATAATTGGCTTAGTTTGTTTTGCATTTTTTTCTCTAAAGTTATTGTGTTCTTCTACAGAGGAGGGAGCACTAGGCTGCAAGTAGCAGTGGAATGTCGTCTTGACGAGGAACGCGAGAGGCTCAAGAAGCTACAGGATGAACAGTTCAAGGTGCAGAGAGAACTGGACTCTAACCCGCAACCTTTCGTACTAACAGCAGTACCGAGACACCACAGCAACGTCCGATAACCTTCATCATTTAGAAATGTAGTCTTGGTAAAATCTCAGCTTGTACCACCTTTTGTATATCAAGAATCGAGTTCCGTAACATTTTTGCAATGTACCAGTACTGGACTGTTCATTATTGTAGCCTTTTATATTGTATATGGTCTGAGGTTTTGTAACTAATGGATATTCATTTATAATCCTGCCTGATTTATTATTCTTAAGAACTTAAGAGAATTTACTGGTTTTACATTACAGTACTTGAAAATGATTAAGTTTGGGTTAACCATGAATCTACATAAGTTACTGAATAAAAAATATGTAGGCTATATTTCAAAATTTAGATTGTTGAATAATAAGAACATAACCCAGTTTCAGTTAACATCTAACTAAACTGGATTCTACAATAACAGAAAAGATAAATATCTCACCTAAATACATTCATAAGTGTAATTGTACTAAATTTAGTGTAAATATATGTTTAGTTTTTCTGTACAAATTTCAGTTACAGCCAAGATTGTGCCCATTTTATTTCCCGTACCAAAGCAAACCGAGTGGTGCTGTAAAGAAGAGTCTAGTTGTTTTTTTATTTATGTTAATAATTTATGTTACCTGTTGTAAATAAATTAAGTTTATTTTTCTTACCTTTGCGTGCTTTATTTTAGTTTTAAGAAATTGCTTTAGTTAAATAAATTAATCTGTGTATGCTTATTGAAGTGAATAATATCTATTTAAAAAAAAGAAGAATATTATTGTTGACAAAACAAAATAGTTTTTTATGTAGTCTATTTTCAAATAAAGTGCCTTTGTCTGTTTTTGTCAGAAAAAAACGTAACAACAGGCACATTTTTTGAGAAATTATAATGTGGCGTAAATTAATTTAAATAATTAATTAATTCAAGTTTGAGATATGTTAATGGCCTTAAAAAGACTGAAAATACATAAATGGACGTATAAGTAAAGAATATAACTGTATGTCAGTTTTATTCCTCTGATAATCCTTGCACTATTATTTCAAACCTAACGAGTTTCTTTAAATGAACTGATAATTGAATTATACTTGTAAGCAGCATAGTACATAGTGTTTCAAAAATCAGTTTATTGATGAAGTGCGTTTGTTTGAAGCAATTAATAAAACATTTTTAATTATATTATAGTTTTACTGAAAGTGAATTTACACTAAACATATTTTATTAACTAAAACAAAGTCTTCAAAATGTTTTCCACTTACATTAATGCATTTTTCACAAGGGTTTTTTACACTTGTATGTAACAATATTTTTGCAATGATTTTTATCGTGGTTTAAGGCTTCAAATTCTCTTGCGATAGCTGCTCTAAATAGCAGAACATCTAGGGGCCATTAGACAAAAACTTTATTTTTAATTACCCCCCAAACAGAAAAGTCTCAGGGTGTAAGATCGAAGGACCTTGTGGGCTAATCAGTTCACAAGAGAATTTGAATCCTTAAACAACAACAAAAATCTATGCAAAAATATTGTTACAGATGTAAAAAAGCTCTGTGAAAAATGTATTGAATTTAATGGAAAGCATTTTGAAAGATTTTTTAAAGTTTACAACCTATGAGAAAAAAGATATTACTATGGTAAATTCATTTTCAATAAAATTATAATATAAAAAAATATTTATATTTTGCTTAAAAAAATACACTTACTGATTTTTGAAACACAAACATCCTGTATAATACAAATTAGTTTTCTTCATTGTAGTATATTTGTGTATAGTTAAAATAAGCTTTATATATTCAAATATATTTAAACTTTTGTAATAATAATAATTTTTTTATGAATGTTAACTGTGTTTTAATATTACACATTTCTCATGGAAGCTAATAGGCCTACAAGTAAATTACATAACACTTAATTTCTATTCATAACTATTGCTGGTTTAGCTTTGTAACAGACCGACATAAGAAGTATTTGATAAACGATAATATGCCTACAAGATCCCATTGAAATAGTAGATTACTGGTAGTTAATGGATCACCTGTCACCTGTCTATCCTAAAGAAATTCAGTAACTTTTTGATCATTTGAAACTGGACCCAATGTCATTGTTTATTGGAGCTTTTGATGAATTTTCCTGGCTAAAAAAAACCTACTAGTCTTCGAATAGAAACATTGCCTACGAATAGAACAATATTGAAAAGTTAATGATAGAAGACAAACATACCAAAGACATGTCGCTCCATTCTACACTCTTATTGCATTCATCTTTGGATTAAAATACGCCCAATTTCGCCCTTGTCTTGGTTGGTAATAAAATAATAAGATAGGTAGGCCTATGTGAGAAGTTGCTGGTTACTCTCGGACCAATGTGTATGGTAGGTCAGTGGAAGAACACAAAAGTTTCCTTTTAATTTCTCTAATATTTTGGTCAGCTTCAGTTTCCCGGGCTAGAATAGTTGCATTTATATGTTCAGAAGATATTTCAAAAAATGTTCTAAATGTAGGAAGGTAACTTCATTGTTAAGGAAAATGTCTAAGGTTTCAGAATGTTGAGTGAGTGGCTCTGGATAAACAATCAACGTTAGAATTTTCGTCCCCTTTCTTTAAACGTATTGAATAGTTAAACCCTAATAGAAAAGATGCATAACGGAGTAGTTGGCTGGAAGTCATGGAAGGTAAGGATTTGCTTTCATGGAAAATTCCTGAAAGAGGGGCATTATCTGTAATTAAGGTGAAGTGAAGTCCATATCCATACAGATAAAATTGTAAAAATGACTGACTCCAAACACGATACCAAGAGCTTGTCGATCGAGCTGACTATAATTTCGCTCTGGTGGAGTTAAGGATCTGGATGCGTAAGCGATCAGTTTCTCTTCATCATCAATTATGTGACTCATTACAGCTGCAATTCCAGTAGGACTCTGGGATCACATGTTAGAACGATTAGACGATGGGGGTCATATGGTACTAGAACTCTTTTTGAGGTTATTTCCTCCTTGAGACAATCAAATGCAGGTTGACAATCTATTGACCAATGAAATCTTCTATTTTTCTGGAGAAGCTGTCGAAGATGTGTTGTTTTTTGTAGATAGGTCTGGGATGAACCGAGCCTAGTACGTAACCATTCCAATGAATTTCCGGACCTCATCAATATTACTTGGTTGAGGCATATTACAAAACAGCTCTAATCGTTTCTGTCTGGACTTAAAGAAATTTGATTGTACTTAATCACATGACCAAGATAGTCAATTTGTTCGCAGAAGAATTTGCATTCGCCTTTGTTTAGATGCAAGTCGTTCACATATAGGAACTATATACATATCTTCAATTGATTTATAGTTTTTGTAAGTACTGTAACCTTAACTGTAACTTTGCCCAATGGTTTAAAAACATTATTTGTATAAGCACGGAAATACACATTAGTTATGTCAAGATTGTCATTGAGATTTAACTCATTGAAAGCCTTTTCTGAGATTAGTAATCCTGCTCCGGAATCTATCCCAAATTGCATTGGCTTGTTATGATTGAAACTGTAGCAAACTACTTTTGTGAATCGGGTAAATTTGATCATTTGTTCTGGTCAAATATGTCTATGATATTAGGTTTGGTAACTGGGAAGAACTTCAGTGATTTTATTTAAGCCTGGATTTTGGGAGAGCTTTATCGAATTTCACTAATTTTTTCTCATCGAAAATGAAGTTACTATCTAGTTGGTCGTTATATATTTGCCACGCATAACTCATTAAATCTGTCAGTAGTTAACCTATACTTGAGGACTCATTCTGCTACACAGCGTTTAAATAAGACGGAATATCCCAGAAATAATAAAATTGTTTTTTTTTTTTTAATTGAGTACAGTAATTCAGTATTTTGAGCCCTACTGATTCAAACGATCAAAAGCTTAAATTATGGCCTATAGTTTTATGATTATTTAAATTCTAAAACATATAAAAAATTAACTATACTGGAGCTATTGATTCTATAGTCATAGAATATGCTTATCAAAATTATTTTTATGTTGGTTGAACATAGTTTTTTGGTTGGACATGTTAATACTGTTCAATACTGGACTTATTATCCTACACTTATATAAGCCAAGTATGAATGGAGATAAGTGTAGGATGAGTGGCGTGATCTTGTAGTCTTGTTAGTGACTAAGGCCGACATTCCTTAGACACAGCTGTTAATTAATAGCCCATACAGCTAATGGCAACTAAGGGACCTACACAGTTTATAGTGGAATCCGAACCACATGATGGTGTTGGGGACACATAGGTATGTTTACCTTGCGTTTGCTTGAAACTCGTCCGATTTGAATAGCTAATAGCTTAAATGAAAGCCAGTATTTCACTGAAGGTTCTGGGACAAAAATATACAGAGTTATATAATTAAAACTGGTGAAATACATCTTAAATTTGTATTTCATTGTATTGTGTTTTTGGTCGAACAGTAGGTAAATATATGCCGGTGCTTGATGTGAAATCTTTGTGTGCATGCCTTCAATTTGAGACCTCAATAATGAAAATCAGTCGGGTAGAAGAGCCAAACGAACTCGGAAAAGAAACCAATTTTTTTATATATATTAGATAACCTGTTGCTCGAAATCGAGCAAAATTACAACTTGTAATAAAATAATGAAGAACAAAAACCATAAATACCCCCGCCGCAGCAAACCTGCCGACTAAGCGAATTTCCATTCATCTTAATTGATTTTCAATTAAATATATTTTAATAACATTAGGTTTAACGAGTAGGTTTGCTGCTACAAGGAAACTAATAAAGTGTGTTTTTTTGTAAAATATTGATAGCTTAGTACAAAATAAATAAATTTGATCAAAATACAAAATATATCCATAAACAAGCAAACTACAACATTTGACAATATTCTCCATAAGAATAACATGGGAATTTTAAATTTACAATTTTTTTTTAATTTTCTCCGTTACTATTAACCGAACAAAAATACTTTTATATACTAAATTAATTGTTTTTTAAGCTCTTTAAAAAGGTCTAAAGAGAAATTGGGAAATTTTGTGTTTTGAGGGTCAAAAGTGAGAAAAACCAATTTTTACCCAATAAAACCCCCCGTAAAGCCCCGTTCCCAGGGTCTGATCATGCTGGTTCGCGAACTCATTCAAGTTTATCCCGCTTTACACCTTTAAACCAAATTTCATCAAAATCGGACAAAAAGTACTCAAGTTATCGCGTTCACGGACGTATATATATGTCTATATATATATATACTAGTTAACCGCCCGTGCTCCGCCACGGGAATATTGTCAGCAATAAATGAAATAATAATTAACAAATACTGTTTATCTTTGTATTTTATTTAGGGGTTGTTTAATTTTTTACATGAAATAGAACTGATAGTTTGCCTGTATAAACTATTTTATGTTAATCAAATAACCGATATATTATTTTAACCAAATGAATGTTTTATAATTCGAGTTTCATTTGAAAAATAAATAGTATACCGGTACGAACTGGACAATGCTGATAACCTAATAAGCAGATATTTTGGATATTTAGATAATTTGTTCAAGTATAGTCCTGTATTCGTCGTTTTTTTCATTACATTTGTTGTATGGAATAAAGATAGTCACTTAGCCTACATGTAAATCACGCATCAACAGTTGGTCGCATTACACGAATCTTTGACCCATACTGTGAGTAAA